AGGTGGTGGGCTCTCCTTCTTCGGAGGCTGAAGCTTGTCATGGTAGAGATGTGAATAACATCCTGTTAAGCCACTTTTAAAGGGACAGGGCTTTTTTCTCCAGACCAGTTGGCACCCCTACTCTGCCTTATGCCAAACGCCCTTGCGAACAGCTGCTTATGGGGAGGCAGGTCACAGAGAGGCCCAGGAGTTGTGGGTTGAGAAACAGCGTGGTGGACCCCCACTTCCCCCACAGCTCACTGGGTGACCTTGGGCCCTGTCACAAAATCTCAGCCTGGCCTCCCTCACAGGGCCGTTGTGCTGGGGAAAAAGAGAAGGTGAGGATATTCTAAAAGCCACTTTGACTCCCAGCTGGGAAGAAAAGCCGGATATGAATAAATGCAAAAAATGTAAATGCAAGAGGCTTTCAAGCGGTCACTTCCAATGTTCCCTCTAAGCTGTGGAGTCTTGTGAGCAAAAATCCTACTTTGTGAGCTACTGGCATTAAAGTTGTGAGCGAGCCATTTGGCTGCTGCATCAATTAGTCTGCTCTGGAGCCCTCCTTCCTGAGCGAAGACAAAAATGGGTGAGCCGGAGGCTAAAAAATGGTGAGCTGGCTCACACTAACTCAGCTTAGAGGGAACACTGGCTTCTCTTCACTAGTGTTGCCAACCTCCAGGCAGGGCCCGGAGATCTCCCGTTATTACAACTCTGGATAATAGAGGTCAGTTCCCCTGGAGAAACAGCTGCTTTGGAGGTGAACCCCATGGCATTTTACCCCACTGAGGAACCTCCTCACTCCAAATCCCATCTTCCCCAGTCTCCACCCTCCAAAATCTCCAGGTATTTCCCAACCCAAAGGCAAGTCTGCTTTTCACCTGCTCCCCGGGCGGCCAGAATTCCTTCCACACTGCTAATAAATGCTTGCACATTTGTGCGTGGTTCAGGATTGCTGTTTTGTTGCAGAGCGTGAAGACGCAGTGACCTCCAGGAACCCTGTCTCTGAAGGGTAAGAAACAGAAGGGAGGGATGCTGTTGCCACTCTGTGCGTGAGCACTTGCCTCTTCCCTACTGTTGTGTACCGACTTCGCTCCACCAGAACAATAGACGGTCGGATCCTAGTTCCCCCTTCCAGATTGGAAGGGGAACTAGGATCCGGCCGTATATTGTTCTGGGGGAGCGAAGCTCAGGCTCTTCGCATGACCACGTGTGGACCGGCTGCAACCAGATCGCGCACATGGTCGGGTCGGTACACAACACCTACCCCCCAAGCTTTAACTTGTATATTACTTGTAAATAAACAGACATATCCCCCCAAAAAAACCTCAAAAATCCCTAAGGCCCCTGGCGCTCTCATAAGGAAATGGAGTCTGCAAAAGGCAGCCGATGAAATTTCTTCTTTGTTCTGGGAAGCGGGGAGCAGAGCAAGACAGGGATGCGACAGGCATTCCTCCCTGGGTTTGGTGTAGTGGTTAAGTGCGCGGACTCTAATCTGGGAGAACCGGGTTTGATTCCGCACTCCTCCACTTGCACCTGGCTGGATGACCTTGGGCAAGCCGTAGTTCTGATAAGAGGTGTCCTTGAAAAAGAGCAGTTTCTGTCAAGAGCTCTCTCAGCCGCACCGACCTCAGAGGGTGTCTGTTGTGGGGAGGGGAAGGGAAAGGAGTTTGTAAGCCGCTCTGAGACTCCTTTGGGTAGTGAAGGGCGGGGTATAAATCCAATCTCTTCTTCTCTTCTTCTTCTTGTATAAAATCAAAGCGTTACAAAAAGTGTTCTGTCATGGCATGAAAATTAAAAAAGAAATGGCAAAGCGCGATGGTTCTGGCCTCGTTATCTGCTGCCCGTCATCTGTGCGAATTGACTTATCGGCTTCCAAATCAGCCACTCCAGAAGCATCTGTGGTTTCCTTGCGCAGATGTCCATCTCGTGAGATTTCTGGGAGGTGTTTTTGTGGCTGCAGACATCGACCAGTGGAGGGGTGCTACTTTTTGGCATTCACAAAACTCCTGGAACTTTGGACACAGTCTCTCTGAACATTTACATATATTTATTTAGTTATCTATCATCTGCCTTTCTCACTCGGAGGGTTGCACAGAGTGAATCAATACAATCAACAGGACATTCGAGAAACTATGAAATAGGATTTAGTTTCTAGGACCAACCAGAAATTTTAAAAAACCCACCCGAAGCAAAGCAAACCAGAAAGCTTTTGATAAAGTTCCTCATCAAAGGCTCCTAAGTAAGCTCAAAAATCATGTCCTTTTATAGATCAAAAAGTCCTTTTATGGATCAAAAACTGGCTAATTAATAGAAAACAGAGAGTATAAATGGGCAATTTTCTCAGTGGAGGGTGGTAAGCAGTGGGGTACCGCAGGGATCAGTACTTGGTCCACTGCTTTTTAACTTGTTCATTCATGATTTGGAGTTGGGAGTAAGCAGTGAAGTGGCTAAATTTGCGGATGATACGAAGTTGTTCAGGGTGGTGAAAACCAGTGAGGATTGTGAGGCACTCCAAAGGGATCTGTCAAGGATGGGCAAGTGGGCATCAATATGGCAAATGGGGTTCAATGTGGCCAAGTGCAAGGTGACGGACATTGGAGCCAAAAATCCTAAATATACACATTGATGTGGTCTGAACTGGCAGAGACTGATCAAGAGAGAGATTTTGGAGTCCTAGTAGATAACTCACTGAAAATGTCGAGACAGTGTGTGACTGCAATAAAAAAGGCCAATGCTATGCTGGGGATTATTAGGAAGGGTATTGAAAACAGATCAGCCAATATCATAATGCCCCTATATAAATCAATGGTGCGACCTCATGTGGAATACTGTGTGCAGTTCTGGTCACCACACCTTAAAAAG